ACGAGACGGTTATAATAATTATAATACGTATAATATAATATATATTCCTAGATGAGATATACATTATCCATGTATAGATTTAGATTAATGATATTAATGTTATGGAAATTTTCCTATATTTTAACTAAATGCATTCAACGTCATAAGTGTAATCAAAATAGAWCTGTTACCATTATTGGAATTATTCTAGATATTTGTACCTAATATGAAAACAATCACTTTGCAAATGAGTTAACAAATAATCATTTTAATAAAAATATGAATGCCTGCTTGTGAAGTCTGAATGACTGACATTAACTAAGTCAAAACATCCATGATAAAGTATATATTTGTTCATTTTGGATTTTTCAACATAGTTTGATAGGTTGTAAAATGTGATTTGGTAAAATGTAATATAAATTTAAYAAGAAAAGTTATTCCAGGCCCATTTCACCCTACATATTTTAAATATTTCAGTTTATAAATAAGTATTATTGTTACACTTGGGTTCTTATGAAATTATTATATCTACTGATAAATAAACATKATTGACGAAAAGAATGTATATATTTAAAATTAAAATTTTTGACAATTTACAGTTACTGCGAGAYATTATTTAAGCTTAATAAACATTGTTATAATTAATCCTAGTATTATACAATAATTAAATTAAGTTATCTAACCATAATTTCAATAAATGAAGTACTTGTATCTATAAATTAGTACCCGACAGGCCTATATTGGATAGTCTAGACCCATCGAAAAATATTTTTCTACCAGCTCATAATTTGGTATAGTAACCCATATTAGCCATTCAATAAATAGCGAGAAAAACTATAACGAATCAATGAAAAATAAACTATTTTAGTTAGTTGAAAAATTACAAATAAATCATTTTTGGTCTTTAAGTATAATTTCATGATAATGTTCTCATGCATGYATACATACTTAAAAATACTGCTGTGTTTATAAACATAAAATATTTTTTTGGTCTTGACAACGTTCAAAAATTCAAAAATCTCATATAATAATAATAGGGAAATCTATTGAAACTCATGTATAACAATCATTTGAAGACTTTGAAGTTAGGAAATTAATCATATGATACAAGATACAACAGTGAAGATATCTAAATGCAAACCTATAACAGATAATTTGCAATTTATCCAATTTCAAAATGTATCCCTAACATAATATAAGTACCTATGAATCTAGGTAAAATATAATGTTTAAAAAAAATAATATAAAATAATATATATTTATAAATAAGAGCGATGATGGTTTTAAATATTTTGAATTGTGAAGAATTAAATGTTTGTATTTGAATTTTTAAGTTAAGTATTATTAATTTTTATCACGCAGACTTTTAACTTGTACAAATAGTTTTCAAATAGATTTTTAACTCTTTAAAGTTTTAAAGACAAACACAAAAACAAAATGAAACAAATATTTATAAATTTGARTTTGAACTTCTATCAATTATACATTTCTGATAAGGATGCTTAAAATTCAATATATTGTACCTAATATTTTTTTGATATAGATACATATTGAACTATATCAGGTTCTATATTACAGGACCGTAGTAGTTGTATATTCTAATTACAATTATGAAACAGTCGATATAAACATGAAAAAATAGTTTACATGACTAAAAAAGTAAAAATAGTATATTTTTGGATCCGTTCAAACAGTAATATTTATTTATTTTTTAATGTATGAACAAAAATCAATATTTTTAGAGGGTTAAAAATCGATACAATAAAAATATATGAATATTTTTTATTTTATAGAAAAAAAATTGATTTCATTTTAAGAATCTATTTAAAAAATAATAATAATAATAATAATATGAACATTTATCAACGAAACAAATTTCACACATCACGTACATCGATTATCGAATGTTTATATCATATTATATTGTACTATGTGTCTATATATAATACTTATATATATTTTAATGTTAAATGCATTATGTATGTTCATTACATAGATTTTGAGGCTTAATTTGTTACAATTCATGTATTATATTATGCATACAATACATATTTTTATTTTTGTTTTTAATATCCTTATAAAATGCCATTTGAAATAAAAGCACGCCAAATGAGTAAAATCTATACT